TATTTCTCTGAAGCATGAATATTTCTTAGAACATCTTTTTCTTTTTTGATCTTCTTCTAAAAGTAAGTGCGATTTTCCATAAAATTAATTTTGGTGATTGACATACCATTCAAAGTGCCCACTTTAAACTATATCTTATCACTAGTGCAAGAACCATTCATAATACCAATACTCACTCAATTGCAGCATTAGTGCCAGGAAGACAAAAGAAAACTCTGGCAATTTTAAATATTTAACAAAGACTCTGGTTCTTACTAAAATACGCAGTTATTTCCATCCACCTCTGAACTGTACACATTTTTTTTTTACCATTCCAATATTTTTTTCTTCTGTGATGTATTGTTTTAAGATATCCCTCATAAATATCAATTTCCAATAATTTATGATTTGGTATCATTTTATTCGTTAGCAAAAAGGCTGTTTCAAGAAAGGATTTCACTTAATATGATCCAGCTATACAGTTCCATCTCCTGAAATACTTTTTTTTTGTCCATTTCTCCAAATAAGCAAGATCAGTCAAAATCGTAAAAAACAACCTTGTATTTAGCATAGGTATAATGAAACACTCAATCGATTTCGAGGGCAGCTAAAGGTCCCTCCTCATCAGGAGAAAGAAATACATAGAAAGAAAAAAATAGAAGAAGGAGTCACAGAAACACGTGGTCCTTATCAGCACTGCACGAGGTTATAACTAGATTTTTAATCAGAGTTGCACTGGCCGCCTACTTTTACTGAGCCAGGCTATCTGATCAAGCATAAGAAATATTAGCGAAGTTAAAATAGGGAGCGAGGGGCAAATGCACCTTACGCGCAAAATCTGAACTTCAAATAATGGAAAGCAACCACTGAACGGATTTCTATACCCTCTGGTAGTACCAAATGCGAGAAGGTATCGCCATCTATCGGCAAAAATAACTGAATAAGATAGTAGAATTTTAAAGGCATTAGGAAGGACTGGATTGGACTTCAAATCATTAACTAAACTTGCTAAATCTTTGTGAATGTGAAAAGCCTCAAGAAAATCCAATTTACTTAGTAAGAAGCCTTTTGGATGATTTTTGCAGACCCAAAATCAAAATTATGGTTAAAAGTCCAACTATGATACGCTATTGAAGACTTGTTAATTTCGCCTTTTTTGACATAAGATTCATGTTCCTTGATACGAAACTTCAACGCTCTTTTTGTTTGGGCCATATATCTTAAACCACACTGACATGATATACTATAAATTCCCCCAAGAATTCAAGAGAGAAACGCAATCTTTTAGAATCGAAGGGTGAATTTTATTAATAGGGTAGAAACCGACTTGAAAATTTAATTTCTGGAGAATCCGTGCATTTTATAGCTAACAGAAGGAAAAATGGAAGCACGACAAGGTCATTAATATTATTTTCAACAGTGGAATGTCTTTCTTGATGGGAATCTGAAAAATTTTTTAAACGGCTTTATCATAATCACGGGAGAAAATCCACAGTCAATCGCAACTGCTCCTCAAATAATTAAGTTCATTGGTAAGCAAAGATTCAGAGGAACAAACTTTAAGCGCGCGGAATACATAATAGTAAAAAGAAGCCATTTTTTGCTTAACAGGATGGCATGACTTGGCATGGGGTGGCAAACAAACTGCAAAGGGTTTACGGTACACAGTGGTGCTAAAATCGGTTTCATTGCGGATTATAAGAATATCGAGGAAGGGAAGGGAATTGTTGGATTCAATTTCAAGAGTGAATTGGATGGCTGGAAGTCAGTTATTTTTATTCAGTTATTTTTGCCGATAGATGGCGATACCTTCTCGCATTTGGTACTACCAGAGGGTATAAAAATCCGTTCACTGGTTGCTTTCCATTATTTGAAGTTCAGATTTTGAGCGTAAGGTGCATTTGCCCCTCGCTTCCTATTTTAACTTCGCTAATATTTCTTTATGCTTGATCAGATAGCCTGGCTCAGTAAAAGTAGGCGGCCAGTGCAACTCTGATTAAAAATCTAGTTATAACCTCGTGCAGTGCTGATAAGGACCACGTGTTTCTGTGACTCCTTCTCCTATTTTCTTCTTTCTATGTATTTCTTTCTCCTGATGAGGAGGGACCTTTAGCTGCCCTCGAAATCGATTGAGTGTTTCATTATACCTACGCTAAACACAAGGTTGTTTTTTACGATTTTGATGGTCACATTAGTGTGTTTCTCTTCTAGTCTAGTCAAGCAAGATCAGTCTGATAACATGAAATAATGTCTTGAAATTCAATAACTTCGTATTATGACACGTCTCCATTCTCTTCAAGTTTTTCTAGAGTTATTTTAATATTTATTGGAATAAACTTATCCTTCAGCTTGCTCAATATTGAAGCTTTCAGAGCATCTTTTGAAGCAATTATACATCAAATACAGACACAGTTTGATTTTCAGTTATTTTAATAACTTTAAAACATTGAAGCCTAAGTTTTAATTAAATGTATCCAAGCTTCTGCCATTGGATTTTCAAAGAATTTTAAAATAAACATGAGAACTTTTCTTGAGATTGAAAATAAGCCTTCAATGGTAAAAACGTTTGGAGTACCCTTTCAATGGCTGGAAGTAACTGTCTTGTTAGTGAATATCCTAGTATCGTTGAAAATTCGGTTTCTATGAAGTTCCAGAAATTTCTCAGTGTTTCTACTCTAACAGTATAAGACTTATATCTTAGAAATAATCATTTCTATATCAAATGGCAAAATATCAGGTAATGTTTTTATGTGTTATGGATAACATGCACTGCACATCTGACTCCAATCAAATCATAATTAAGGTTTCATTTCAGTTTAACAAAAACATTATTTTCTCCAAATCTATCAGCTCTTCCAAAGTTAGAATTCTTATTATCGGCACAAATAATTTTTTCTTTTGTTTTCTGCGAGTCAGGTAGTAAAATAATTACTGACAAAGGATTTAAATTCTAAAACTTTTATTCCATAACTCCAATCTACAAATCTAACAAGTACTGGAAAAAGTTTTAGTTCTTTGTGACTGGATGCATCAGTTAAGATTGAAACAAATGAAGATTTTTCCAAATAAATTTGCAAAGCTCTTAAAGCATAAGGCATGAAAACATTTATTATTATTGCTTTGCCCTTGGTTTGTGCACATGTAAATTTAGGCTCAAATGCCACTTGAAGCAGCTTGGACATAAAATCCATAGACCTAAAGCTATGGTTGTGACAAATAGTATTGTATGCAAAAGTATCTTCTATTGCAGCTAATTCTTCTTCGTTATCACCCATTTTCTCCTATTTGAAAAAATTCTTTAATGACAAGCTAGATACAGCAGCAGAGTTTGATGTTTTATGTTTATTACTGTTTATATGAAGTTTAATATACCATGGTTTATTGAAAATTTTGAAGGACATGTATTTCACCATACATCAGAATTGCTTATAATTTATTCAATAAATGGGTATTCCTTCTGTACGTCTTTGTTAAATGTATACTTTTTTTTTTAAACCCGTAACTAAAAAAAAAAAAAAAAATCAGTGTTTAAAAATAATTAAAATATAAACTGCAGTAAAACATACCCTTATAATGTATGTACTGCATCGCTGATAAACCAAAAATATATGTCCTTGCTAAATGGGAAATGTCATAACATATCATCATTCTGAAACATTTTTAAAAATTGTTTTAACGCTTATGCAAAATCAAAATGATGATGGAGTAAAAACTTTACGATCTAAACGTGACAAAAGAAAGATAATTTTAGATAGATATATCAACAACAAAATTTCAGCAAATTACAAAATTCTTTTTAGATGTCGTATAATAATATGCAAGGGGATGATACATACTAACGTATGTAATGCACCGCTAATAAATTAAAAAATATATGTATATATTATAAATTCAAATCACAATCGAATATCAATTAAAAATCGCAGTGCTGTCTGTAAATGAAAGTCTGAACTGTTATTGTGATTGAGCAAAAATTCAGTGTTAAGTTGGGGGTTGAGGAGAGAAATACAGGAATGACAAATAGAACTCCCACATTACAATTTTTTGAACATAAATGCTACATAAGGAATCACCTGTTTATGCAGCTGGTATGGTGAGTCTCTCAACTTATGCCTGAGTTCTCAGTTTGCAATCTACACTACTTAAATAAATATATGCAGTTAAACTTTTAAGTTCTCACACTATGGTTTTTCAGGACAATACAGGACAAAATCTACACATTCAAGACCAAAAAAGGAGTTGCATAAAATCAGGACAGGGACTGAAAATTTGTGACATAGGGCCACCTTATTTTTAACATAAATGCACTGCTTTAAAAAATTTAACCCCCCCCCAAAAAAAATTATTTATCTTGTTTTTCAGATAATTTTGCCTCAACTGAAAATATAATTTTTTAAGACTTTAAATACTGTCATATTTCAAATCATTTCCATTTTTTCCATTTTAAAAAAACTTTTTGTAAAGCTTCTCTTTGTCTTTTTTGCAAATCTCGAAAATCTTGACACTTTTGTTCATTTTTATCTTCTTTGGCTTTTTCCTGCATACTCCTTGCACACTGAAAACTAACATGAATGAACATATTACAACTTATATTCACATTCTGGAATGATGTTAATAAGGAGGGATGCGAAACATTATCATATTACTGTGTATTCTACCGGTATAATACAAATAATAAATGCATATTATGTTTCATATGTTTTTTCCCCATATAAAATAAACGAAAAATAGTGCTAAGATAGAGATTTACAAATCATTAATATGTTAAACAATAATTCCGGGAATGACAAATGTGAGAATAAAAAACATTACTTATCTAGACTTAATTCAGCACCAAAAATATCAAATAATATATGGAAGAATCATATCTTTACATGAACAATAGATTAAGGGTCTATAGTACTTGTCTCTTTTGCAGAGAATTTTGGCCATTTTTTATTATGCCCTATTAATACTTTATATAACTACATTATTTTGATAAAACAAAAAAGGCAGAAAAGATATATATAAATAATATTCACCATTCTGATGATCTTTGGTCCCTAACAGCTCCTCTCTCATCTCTCGCAAGTAATGAGCTTTTGTTTGCTGGTGAATCTTATTAGAGGCACTTGTAAAAGTTCCATGAGATAATAACTGGTTAGCTAATGCTTTCTCTGTAATAGTAGGCTGAGAAAAATACTGTAGTTTAATTACATCGAAAAGATCAATAAATAATGCTCATATCGAGTTGTCCGGAAAATAATGCAGGTTTTTGCAATTCCTTATTTTTTCTGTACATTTTTAGCAACAAAACTATTTTTAATTATATTGATTTATATATCATGTTGAAGCTATATATTTCTATAATAATCATTTTGTTCCAAAATTATTTTTAAAAGTATTTACTAGATGTTTTTGTTTAGTTGTCAAAACGGGATTTTTGGCAAATTTACTTTTATGAGTACAAGCTAGGCCACAGCGCAGCACAAACGGCTTGAAATGTCAACAAATTATGGGGCAAGAAAAGTGTTAATGAATCTACAATTCAATGGTGGTATCAAAAGTTTCATCGTGGAGAATTTGACCTGGAAGATCAAGAGCATCGTGAACGCTCTTCAGCTGTTGATGACGACGATTTCAAGACTTTAGTCGAAACAGACCCGTGCGCAGCTGTTCGAGAGCTTGGCATAAGCAAAACAATGATTTCTGATCACTTGAATCGTATAGGAAAGTCAAAGAAGCTCAATAAGTGGATGCCTCACAAATTGAGCAAAAATTTTTTTAAAAATCGCCATTTAGAAGTGTCGTGTGCTCTTCTCCGAAACAAAAACGACCCTTTTTTTGATTGAATTGTTACTTGCAATGAAAAGTGGATTCTCTATAACAACGGCGACATTCGGCTCAGTGGTTGGACTGCGGTCAGACACCACAACACTTTCCAAAGCCAAATTTGCACCAAAAGAAAATTATGGTTACTGTTTGGTGGTCTGCGGCCGGTCTGATCTACCCCACCTTCCTAAATCTGAGCAAAACGATTACGGCAGAAATTCTGTAAATTCTGATTCTGTAAATCAATGAAATGCACCATTAAGATTCTGTAAATCAACAAAATGCACCAAAAATTGAAATGCATGTGCCCTGCATTGGTCAACACAAAGAGGCTAGTTCTTCTCCACGACAATGCTCGGCCGCACGTCATGCAACTTGACGCTGCAGAAATTGAACGAATTGGGATATGAGACTCTCCCTCTTCCCCCATATTCACTTGACATTTCGCCGACTGATTACCACTTTTTCAAACATCTGAATAACATTCTGCAGAAAAAATGCTTCAGAAACCAAGATGAGAACAAAAATGCCTTTGACTACTTTATCGCATCCAGAACTCCAGAATTTTATTCTACCGGTACAAATAAACTTATATCTTGTTGGCAAAAATGCATTTATTCGGCTGGTGCTTACTTTGATAAAAAAATTTTTTTTTGAGTTATGATACATTAAAGATATAGGTTAGAAACCTGCATTATTTTCCGGACAACCTAATAAAATACTCTTAAATGCTCATATTAATAGTTTGATGGTTAGCATAACTGAAGTTTATATTATACAGGAAAAGACATACTTCATGGATTTCCAATTTAAAAGAGGCAATCAAGCATTACTGAAATGCATTAATAGTAAAAATTATAATAACTATGATGGATTTCTTAAATTTCCGCAACTCTGGAAATCTATACTTTTATTTTATTTTTTTTTTTATTTATTTATTTATAACAATGTCATAAATATGCATTAAGTTTCTCAAGGCAGTCTCCACAAATAAATGAGTGTACATTTTTTTGGATGATCTGTGCTTTACTAATCAGATTAAACACATTGATGGAAACTGATATGGAATCATCAAAAATGTTTTCTGTATTTTAATGGCCTAAATATTATGCATATCACAAAATGTTTTCAAATTTTACAATAAGTAGTAACTCACCAACTTCTCTGCCTCAACCACACCTCTCAGAAATTCAACACGCCTTGAATACTCAGCTAATGTATCCTTGCTTGGTTGACTGAAAATATCATAAAAACCTACATTGTCAAAATTTATCCAAAAATTAAAAATAGTCAGAAATAATTTCAGAAATTCTAAAACAAGATTATAATTTATTTCACTGCATTCGTGCTCTTTATAAAACTAAATTTCTCAGCACAAATTGCCTGAGACACAGTATAAAGCAGCTTATAAATGATCTGGCTGATGCATTTGGCAAAAGCACCAGTATTTGCAATGTAATGAAATTTGCACTTAACTTGCAGGGCTATCCTATGTTCTGTTTACTAAGCTGTTTTTAATGTTAGAAAATCAATGATTTTGTTATTAATATACTTTCATTTTTAAAATTTTATTATGTTATCAAGCTATTTCTTATTCATATGGCTAATAAACGGATAGTTTTCAATCAATTGTCACTTAATGCAGAATGCAATCTTTATCTTTCAAATTAAAATTATGCATTGTTTAATTACAGAGCAATTTGAAAGTACTATACACCCAAAGTGATGAATAAATGAAGTGCATGACACCTGTTAAAACATACAGAGATATGCCTTTCTTGTAGATAGTTTCACCTGCAAGCAACACACATATAGCAACAGATTTCCTTAAAATTAGTAACAGCTTAAAGACTATTCACTGAGAGTGAGAAGTTATTCAAGTTTAAGAAGGTTTCAACGGGGTACAGAAGCAAATACTCATGCCTTGTTTGGTTGGTGGATATTCTGGTGCATAATCTCAAAAGTTATGATGTGCCAAATGTATAGAAAGTCTATTCCCTCGGTGAAAATTAGCATAAATTCATAAAATTGGCTTAAATAGGTACAATCAGTCTACAAAAAGCAAAGACTTTATATTTCCTGTTCTACTCAGATGATTAACAAAACTCAACTTGCATTTTTCATGACTCAAAAGTGTGACTTAGGATACATATTAGATTTATATACAGCACTGTTCTAACATATGTATTTTGACAAAAAATCGTAAATTTTCTGAAATGGTGTTCCAATTTTATATATATATGTAATGAAATTTTGGAAGCACTGCATTGGGAGTTAGTTCCACGCACTTTCTTTGAAGAATTTATAAAATGAAGTAAATACCATATTTGGATACTCGATGATATCTAAAATTTAAGAACGATGAACTTGCAGATACTTTTCTCTTTGGAGTTTTAGTCGAAAATGTCATGATATAAAATGAATGATTTGGAGCTTGGCGGTGGTGTAATAGATGAGTAGTAAAGAAACTTGGCAAGGCAAACATGTCCGAATTCAAAATAACTTTATTATTGAGGAAAGCAAGTCGGAATTTGCAATATTTGGTTCACATACGGACGAGCGTCTTATGCGCTCTACATTTTTGTTAGATCAGCACATATTCCTTGAACAATAAAGGTAGCCACAAAGCTTCTGGCCAGGAGGAAAGCTTAAGCAAAAGTGCGCATAAGTTCATAGAAAGAAGGGAGGGAGTCAGTTTTTAGTTATGCTTTACAATTTGGTGATTGGTCAAGAGGCATCTGCATTAAGGGTTACGTAAGATCGCATGATTAATTTGAATGACGCAGTTTAAAATTAAGCGCTATTTTTAGGACAGATAGATGAAGTTCCCAAATGAAATAAAAAATAAAAGAGGTTATAGTGAATTAAATTTAGAAGTTTACTTCCATATTTTTTATTGCATTAAAAATGCACTGAGTTTTTGTCGCAAAGTTCCTGGATAATTTTGCATGATTCTTAAGGACTGTTTTACTGTAAACACATTCTATTCAGCCTGCCCATTAATATATGGCTTAAATGGTGCCGTAGTTTTGTGTTTGATTCCATCACTACGTAGGAATACTTTAAACTCATGCGAAGTGAACTGTTACCTGTTATCACTCACTAACAATATTGGTAACCCAAATCATGCAAAAAAGTCCCATAAACATTCTATTGTTTTAAAAGTTGAGCTTGATTTCAATGTGTAGGCTTCCAGCCATTTTGAGTGAATATCAATGATTATCAAAAACATAAGCTAAAAAATAGGTCCTGCATAATCAATGAAACAAAGAGAGAAAAGTTTTGCTCATACTTGTCACAAAAACAATCATTTTAGATCAGACTGTTATTATCTAAAACCGAAACAAAACAGAAAAAAATGAACCACAGTAAAATTTGAAAAAAACATATGTATATTCCAAAATATGCCAAGCAAAGAATAAGTGTAACCTCATGATGAAGCAAAAACTAAAACACCAGAAAAAATAAAACACCAGAAATGGAAGCCAGATGCAGCGCTGTTACTCCATCTGCTGACAGCATCGTACATCAATCAGCAGAGAGTTTTGTTTTTGATAGTGGTGCAAGTAATCACTTAATAAATAATAAGAAATATTTCAGGGAGTTTGAAGCCATAAATCCTTTAGACATCATAATTGCAAATGGGCAATGTTTTATATCTATGGGGAAAGGAAATGTCCATTTTAAAACATTAAATGCTTATGCAAAACAAAAAATAACTGAAGTTTTTTTTATCAGAAGTCTTATATGTTCCTGAATTAGAAGCAAATTTAATTTCAATTAAGAAAATAACAGAAAAAGGGACTCGCAGTTCTGTTTGAAGGAAATAAATGCATGACCCCGAAAGGAGATCAGATTATTTTAGAATGTCATGTAAATAGCAATCGTTACCAAAATAACCACTTGCACTGCGACTAAACTTCCCAGTTGCGGTGCCGTGCGCTACAATATAACAAGTGGTACAGTGTCTCATTTACGGCACTCCGCATCTGCGAGTGCAATCCAGAGCTGTAACTCGAGAAATAAACAATCTCGTTGTTAAGCGACGTGTGCAGCACGTTATTTTATTTTTGCGATAAATGCCTAAATGAGCGACATGGTGTTCACGTCGCTCGTGGTTTGAGACAAAAGCATTTCACGTGCGTGGCGCGTCTTTTTAGCGCAAGTTGTTAAACTAATCTATAGGAATAATGAAACATCAGTTCATTCGCATTTCAGTGCAAAAATTAAAACTGTGTTCAACTTTGACATAGACGCTTTAGCCACAGAAACTATGATGTAATAAAACAACTTGTAAACAAAGAACTCGCTGGAAGGAATTTAACTAGATAATTGTACACATGATACCAAATGCATTCAGTGCACAAAATGTAAACTGATTTCCCGTATCCCAAAGAATCAAAATTTAGAGCATCTAAACCACTTGAAGTCATTCACACAGACGTTTTAGGACCGGTACAACAACATATGTCAGTGGTCACCGATACTTCATAACTTTTATTGATGATTACAGTAGGTTTACAATGATTTACCTAATGAAAAGAAAAAAATTACATAATTTCTAAACTTAAAAAAATTATTACTTTTACAAACAATAAATTTGGAAGAAAAGTAAAAGCTCTAAGGAGTGAAAATGGTGGTGAATACACAAGTAAAGAATATCTCATAAAACACAGTATAAATCACCAGCTAACTGTACCGCATTGTCCAGCACAAAATAGAGTCAGTGAATGCAAAAATAGACCTTTAATAGAGATGACAAGATGTCTTTTAGCTGACTCAGGTCACCCTCACAGATACTGGACAGAAGCAGTGCTGACTGCAAATTATCTACAAAATCGTATGCCTACAAAACCAAATAAAAAAATGCCATATGAATTATGGAATAACAAGAAACCGAACCTTTCTCATCTGATCACTTTCAGGTGCAAGGCTTATGCTTACATTCATAAATCTAAAAGGGGCAAACTAGATGATATTGCTATAGAAGAATACTCGTCGGCTATAACAACACAAGTAAACGTTACAGGATTTTAATTCCTGGAGACAAAACCATAATAATTCGATCTGTATGACTTATCGAAGACACTGGAACTAACGAGCCTGTAAGGGTCTCTTCAAACTAAGATGAAGAAAACCTTAGGAAGAAAGCTCAGAACAGGAAGAAATAAAAATCGAAGAGCCCGACAAAGAAGAAATACCAGAACCCAAAGAAGATCCTTAAGAACTCAGAAGATTGGACACAATCACAAAAGGTAAACCTCCTGTTTGCTACAGATTTCATGCAAAATATCCAGTCTCTCCCGAACTCAAAACCTGGAAGGAAATTCAAACTTTGGAAGAAAATGAAAAAAGGAAATGGCTGACAGCTGTTCGAAAAGAAATTAATTCACTAGAAGAAAACAACACATGGGCATTAGTTGATTTACCAAAAGGAAGAAAACTAATAGGGTGTAAATGGTCTTTCAAAAATTAAGCTTAATGCAGAAGGAAAAATTGACAGATACAAAGCCAGATTAATCCCAAAAGGTTTTAGCCAGAAGTTTGGATCTGACTATGATGAAACATTTGCTCCTGTAGTAAAATACACAACTCTAAGAGCTTTTCTATGTGCAGCTTCATATAAAAACATGTCTGTCAGACATATCGATGTCAAAACAGTTTTCCTTCATGGAGAACTAGAAGAAGAAATACTTGAAGGATACTCAAAAGCTGGAAATGGAAGCAAAGTTTTCAAGCTTATAAAATCAATATATGGACTAAAACAAGCTGCTAGAGCTTGGAATCTGAAAATTAAAAAATTTTTCTAAACATGTCATTTAAACAATGTAAAGCAGACCCATGCTTATTTTTAAAAATATCAATGGAAAATTCACACATATAATATTACATGTAGATGATATACTTATAGGAAGTGAAACAGAAGAAGATGTTATGAAAACAATTCAACAACTAAAAGTAAACTGGAAATCAAATACCCAGGAGAAGTCACCTACTACCTCAGCATAAACACTGAAAGATCTCAAGATGAAATCTTTGCCATAAACCAAAGGAATAAAATCAAAGAAATAGTTGAAAAATTCGGACTTCAAGATGAAAAACTAACATATATGCCAATGGAAACAAACTACTCAAACTAGAAACTGAAGATGATCCTCTTGAAGATAACACAGAATATAGACAAGCAGTAGGGGCATTATATATTGCAACAATAAGCAGACCAGATATAGCATGC